AAAAAAAAAAAAAAAAAAGACATTTTAAGCAAAGACCTGAGGGAGGTAAGGGTGTGAGCTATAGAGGTATCTGGGGGAAAAAAATTCCAGGCAGTGGTCACAGTCCATGCCAAGGCCCTGGGGGTAGGACCGTGCCTGGCATGTTGGAGGCACAGTGAGGAGGCTAGAACAGAGTAAGGAGGGGAAGAACTGGAGGAGGGGAGGAAAGAGAGGGAACAGGGTAGGTTGTGCAGGGTCTGGTGAGGCGAGAGGTGGGAGCCCTGGGAAGTTTTTGAACAAAGGAAGGATACACATTTATTATCTCATAGTCACCATAGTTCAGAAGCCCAGGGTGCTCCAATGGGTCTCTGCTTAAGAGTCTCACAAGCCCCAAATCAAGGCATCAGCTGCCCTGTGCTCCTTCTGAGGGATTCAGGGGAGGAATTTTCTTGCTTGCTAAGAGTGTTGGCAGAATTCAGTTCCCTGTGGTCCAAGGAAGAGGTCCCTCTCCATCTCCTCACTCACTGTCAGCTGGGGGTCAGTCTCAGTTTTTGCAGGAGAGCTGCATTCCTTGTTTATAGCCTCTTAATCTATTTTCAAAGCCAGCAATGGCATGTTGAATTCCTCCCATGCTTTGAAAATCTCTAATCTCCCTTCCACCTTACCTCTCCTACACCCAGCAGGAGGAAATTCTCTGTGCTTTTAAGTCTTCATGGGATGACATCGGCTTTCCTGGGTAATTCAGACAAATTCTGTCTTGAAGTCCTCAAACTTAATCCCACCTGCAAAAGTTTCCCTTGATACACAGGGTACCATAGTCACAGGTTCCAGGGATCAGGGCATGGATGTCCTTTGGCCATTATTCTGTCAGTGACACAGAGCATGTGGAGGGAGAGACAGGAGCCGCCAAGACGATGCCAGAGCTGGGATCTTAGCAGCAGGAATGGTCAAGCTGCCACTGCCTGAGTCAGGGCAGACGGAGGAGCAGGTCTAGGGGAGAAGAGCAGGAGCTCTGTTTTGCACAGGCTGACTTGGGATGCTGTTAGATATCCAAGTGGAATTACCAGGAAGACTGAATATAGGAATGTGGAAGGCTGCAGCAGATAGACGCCACTGGGATAAACACTGGGCAGGAAAGAGCAAATCACAGTGGAACACATAAGGAAAGGAGCAGCCAATGAGGACGGCTGACTGGAGACATGTCTGGTCCCTTAAGCATCCAAGCTTTTTTTTTCTGTAGAGACAGAGTCTTACTTTGTTGCCCTTGGTAGAGTGCGGTGGCATCACACAGCTCAGAGCAACCTCCAACTCCTGGGCTTAAGCCATTCTCTTGCCTCAGCCTCCTGAGTAGCTGGGACTACAGGCGCCTGCCACAACGCCCAGCTATTTTTTGGTTGCAGTTCAGAGCTGGGGCCAGGTTTAAACCCGCCACCCTCAATATATGGGGCTGGCACCCCACTCACTGAGCCACACGTGCCACCCAGCATCCAAGCTTTTAAGACAGAGTCTTGCTGTGTCACCCAGGCTAGAGTGCCATGGCCTCACCCTAGCTCACAGCAACCTCAAAACTCCGGGGCTCAAGCCATGGGATTCCATTTGGCCAAACATTCAGAACAGACAAATCTATGTGGACAAAAGTGGGTGGGTGGTTGCTGAAGGCTGGAGGTGGGGAGGGGAGGGGCAGCAGAGAGTGACTGCTAATGGATGGGGTTTCCTTTTGGGGTGATGAAAATTTTCCGGAATCACGGAGAGGACATCATTGCACAATATGATGAATACCTGTGAATTGCCCACTTAAGAACTGTCAAGATGGTAAATGGTATGTAATGTGAAATTTTTGTAAAAAGCAGGCTGGGAGCTGGTGATGGATTCTGCTGAAGCTGGCAGATGGAAGTCCCCACTTAGCTTGTGATTGGCTGTGTCATCTAAAACAGAACAACTGTACCAGGACTTAAAGTTTATTTTGTCCCATCTGTTAAATGGGCTTAAAAGTAGTTTCTGCCTCATAAAAATTGTTTCCAAGACACAACGGTGTTGGCTTGGGACCTTGGTAAAGTGGGTGCTCCATGCACGTGGGTTCTTATCACGATCATCATGCCAATATTATTATGAGGTCACCCAAAGTGTAACAAACTCCCTCACCTAGAGGAGTAAGTTGACCTTAAGCTTGGATTTGCTGCATCATGGGGTCCCACCTCCCACCTTGGGGTGGCTTGCAGCATGAGCCCTGGGGACAACCTTGGACTGGCCCTGACTCCCTTGGGACACATCAGAGGCAGCAGTGCACGGAGATGCGCCAGGGAACATAACACTCCAGCACCTCTTAGGGGGCCCCTCGGGACTGGCCCACCCACGCCTACAGCAGACCTACCATTCCCAACTGTGCATGACAATGGTATGGTCTGTGGCCCTCTGGTTGGACTTCATTTCTTTATTAGGCAAGGTCTGTGCCTGTGCCTAAGCCACGACCCTCTCGGACCCACACACAGCAAGCTCTCCTGGCTCCCAAGCCTGCACGTCACTGACCTGTAGGATTTTCTGTAGCTGCCTGTCATTATCCACCACAAAGATGTCCATCTCCGCATTTTCAGCGATCATCTGGCAAGACTTTGGGGTGCTGTTAGTCAAGATGCCAACAGAAAAGCCTCTGTGAAGCCAAGAGGTGATGGCTTGCTGGGTGAGTGCTTCAGGGAATCCCAAAGTTCTTGGGAGTCCCTGAAACCCCAATGCTCACCCTTATTTGAAGGTGGGACTCAGGGACAGCCCTGACTGGCCCTCCCTTAAGGGATTCTCAATATTCAGGATGGGTGGAGAGGGCTCAGCAAGAGAGATTCCTGATAAACCAAGAAGGCTTTCTGGAGGAGGGGCGATGGGTCTGGAGGGAGGAGGATAGAGGAGGGGTTACGGGAGCTGGGCTCCACAGGATCTATGTGAGTTTAAATGTTGGGAAGGGCAAGCTAGGCAGTGTTCAAGACAGGGCCATTGACGAATACTAGAGTACAGACTGAAGTGGAGCTATGGTCAGAGCTCCCTGTCCTGGAACTTTTCCCCCGAAACTCTTCAAGAGAAGGTGTGCTGGTGGCCTTGGTACATTCCCGGGAGAGACAAAGAGCCCTTACCCTGCCATGATGGCACCAATGCTGGCGATGACCCACTCCTCTGAATTCAGCCCCATGATCCCCACACCGTGGAAGCGCTGGAGGCCCAGCTGGGGAAAGAGGCCCTCATCAGGCTCTGACAGGCGTGGCTGCTACCACCCTCAGCCTGCCCAAGAGCCTACGGCTTACCAGCTCAGACTCCCTTTTGTCTGTTGACCATTGTCCTTCCCCACCCTCTGATAAAGTAACCCATCCTTCTATTAAAAGAACCTGATGTTTACCCAGAGCAGGGCTTCTCAGTTAGGGGGTGAGTCTGTCCCACTTAAAACCTTGTGACACCTGGAGACATTTTGGGTTGTCCAAATCAGAGGAGGGAATGACAATGGCACAGAGTAGATGGACAGCAGTGAAGCACTCCACAGTCCCCACCCCAAAGAAGAATCCTGCCCCCACATAAATTATTTTACAAAGTCAGGGCAATAGTAACTACCCATGTTATCACAACCTGATTTCTTTTCTCTTTTTTGAGACAGGGTCTCATGCTGTCATCCTTAGTACACTGCTATGGCATCATCATAGCTCACAGCAACCTCAATCTCTTGTGCTCAAGAGATCCTCTTGTCTCAGCCTCCCAAATAGCTGAGACTATACATGCCTGCCACCATGCCTGGCTAGTTTTTCTCACTCTTGCTCAGGCTGGTCTCTAACTCCTGAGCTCAAGGGATCTGCTCCTTTCAGCCTCCCACAGTGCTGGGGTTACAGGTGTGAGCTACGGCACCCAGCCCCTGATTTTGTTCACAAAACCATATATCTCGTTTATTTTCCCCAGTCTTTAAATATTCTCTACAGTATCAGGCTGGGTGTGGTGGCCCATGCCTGTAATTCTAGCACTCTGGCAGGCCAAGGTTGGTGGATTGCTTGAGCTCAGGAGTTCAAGACCAACCTGAACACAAGCGGCCCCTTCTCTACTAAAAATTAGGAAAATTAGCTGGGGAATGTGGCACACACCTGTAGTCCTAGCTATTCAGGAGGCTGAGGCAAAAGGATCCCTTGAACTCAGGAGTTTGAGGTTGCTGTGAGCTATGATGCCTCAATACTCTACCCAGGATGACAGAGTAAGACTGCCTCAAAAAATAAATAAGTAAAATAAAAATAAATATTCTTTAGGATATCAAATATAACACCTCCATAACACATAGTATCAGACGTCATGATTTAACAATCCCCCTTATTGGTTGATACATAGGTGGGTTCTGGTTGTTGGGTTTTTCTTGTTTGCTTGTTTTACTTTTATCAGATAAAATGCTGGGGTAGCTCAAACTTTGCTTATGCACATGACTATTTGTGCCAGTATTTGGATCAACTCTGCCATTGAAGGTGATGCACATCTCAGTTCCACTCGATAATTGTGCCTTAACATGTGAGTCCATCAGATCCAGGGGGGGCCTTTCCCAGCCATGCCAGACTCTTAGTTACAGCAACCCCCCCTTTCCTCTTCTAACAGGCATCTCAACCTAACCACCCCCATGGAACTGATGAGTTTATCCCCCCATCCCAAACCTGCCCTCTCCTTCCATTCTGTCCTCTCATGATCTTAGTCAACAGTAGTTCCATCCATCAAGTTACATGGGGTAGAAACTTCATTCTGAGACACCCAAGAAATCCTGTAAACTTTGCCTTCAGAATTTGGCCACCTATCACCCTCTCTCTTGTGATTGTCACCTTGGTCCAAACTGTTTCCATCCAGTCTGTCCTCCCCCAAACAGCCACAGAGGGTGCTTGTGAACGCCTGAGTCAGTACTTGTCCCTTTGCCCACAACTCTCCATGGTTCCCACCGACATTGGGAAAAAAGCCCGAGTCCCCCCTGAAGCCACAAGGGCCTGCAAGACCTACCCCATCCCTTTCCTGCCCTCCCCTCCTCCTTTCCCCCTCCTCACTGTGCTCCAGTCGCATAGGCCTCCTTGCTGTACCTCCAACAGGCCAGATGCGGTCTTGCCTCAGGGCCTTCACACAGGCTGTTCCCTTGACCTGGAACACTCTTCCATGACTCCCTCCTCACCTTGTTTAAATCTTTGTTGAAATGTCACCTTCTCTCAGCAAGGCTCTCCTTGGCTACCATATGTTAAAATTTTAACCCTCACTTAGGCTCTGTTGACTTCATTGTCTACCTAGCACCTGATTTACTCACAATGCTGACTTGGGCTAGTCTCTTATCCCCTTTTCTTATCAGAAACAAATAGGCATTCATTCATTCAACAAACACCAGAGGGTTAGTGCTGTACTAGAACAAGGCAATCTGGATTCCTGCCCTCATGGAATTGGCCAATTAAACAAATATATGACATGGTACCAGGTGGCAGTGAAGGCTGGGCACAAAATGTTGAAAGAGGCTGTAATGGAAAGGGTGATGAGGAAGGTTTGGGGAACCAGGGCAGTAAGGAGAGGCCTAAGAAACACCACTGTGGAAGAGACACAGTAACAACAACCACCATAAAAATAATAGCAAATGGGGCAGCGCCTGTGGTTCAAGAAGTAGGGTGCCGGCCCCATATACCAGAGGTAGCGGGTTCAAGCCCCGCCCCCGCCAAAACTGCAAAAAAAAAAAAAAAAAAAAGCTCGCGCTGACTTGGTGCTGCATGTGGGCCGCAGCTATTTGATGTGTGTCAACTCACTGAATCCAGCGGCAATCCTGTGTGTTTGGGGCTATTTTTTGTATACTTATATATGATAGTTAATGTAAGATAATATATTTTACATTAAAATTTTATATATTCACTTATTTTACTAGGAAACATATTAAATTCAATATAAAAGTATAAAATGTATAAAATTCATGTGTTAGATGTATTTTACATATTATACAAATATAAGATATATACTTTAATGTATACAATATGTTTAGTAAGTATACATTTGTATATATCAAAATGTCCATTTTACATATGAGGAAAATGAGGCAGAAAGAAGCAAAGTAAACACGCAGCTAAGGGCTGGGCTGGCATTCAAACTGACGTCATAAGCAGCCTAATTTTCTAGATTTTCTTTCCTTTTTTTTTGAACTGTGATACAGAATGAAAACCGCAGTTTGTAATTTCAATCTCCGTCTGTAAAACGCGAGCGAACGCGAGACGAAATTAACTGCGAGGCACCAGGCTGGGGGAGGGGGAGGTTGTGCGCAGGCGCAGGATGGGGCAGGAGAGGCGCTGGAAGGAGGGGCGTGGGCGGGCGGTTAGAGTCGCGCGCAGGCGCAGGATGGGGCAGGAGAGGCGCACGGCAAGAGGGGCGTGGGCGGGCGGTTAGAGTCGCGCGCAGGCGTGGGCCGGCGCGCAGGGGCACGCTGTACCTTGAGGAAGGCTTTGGCGGCTCGCCGGCATTCTTCGTAGTACTCGATGTAGGTGAGCAGGTGCCAGTTGTCCTTGTACTTGGAGCCGAGCGCGATGTAGTTGGCGTACTTGGTGGCTGTGCCCATGATCATATCGTGTACTGTGAGCGGCGCCTTATCCCTGAACGAGTTCTCGTCCTGCCGCAGCCGCACCTCACCATGTCTGTGCGTGGTCCAGTAACTGGAACCTGTGAGCAGACGGGGTCCGCTAGACCGGCAGCAGAGGAGCGGGATGGAAGGTGAAGGGAGGAGGACACAGAAAGAATTCAGGGCCAGGGGGACGGTAAGATTCACTGACCCAGAGACGATTCAGGAGGAAACTTCCCAGCAAGCAAGCCCAAGGCCCCTCTGGGGACTCCATCCCCAGGAACCAGGCACCTCTGACTTGTGCTGACCACCTTCCACCCCTGTACACCCAGGCCGGCATTGTGGCAGAAGGATAGTTAGTGCCCCTAGCTCCAGCCTTCTCTAAAGGGACAAACAGAAACGACAGGACCTCAAGGATCCCAACCCTGGCTGAGCCACCCATAGCCAGCCTTGAAAGCCGGACCCTCACCCTCAAACTGGCCTCCGCAGGAACACCACCAACCTCACCCAGGGCCCGAGGAGCCCCTACCTGTATTTCTTCCTGCGTGCCGAGCACCTTCCTGCCATGGCCTCCTAGTCTTTTTTGAGGTCATTGTGTACAGAATATCTTTGCTTCCCTTCTCACTGTCTTTTGGGCATCCAGTTTGCTAGAGCTGGGTAGACATATTTGAACAAAATTACAGGGGTTAGAGGGTTGGCAGCGTCCAACAGGGAGGCACGAGGTTCCCACCTAGTCATGGGGATGGATGGCCAGGGAAGGCGGCTCTGAACAAAGGGTGAAAGTTGACCAGGCAAAGAAGGAAGGGAGAAGCATCTTAGGAGAGGGAGCAACATGATGAAGGCTCTTGGGGCTGGAGTGGAAGGGAGGAGATATGCATAGGAGGAAATGAAACAAGAAAGGAGTTAGTATTGTTTTCTCAGCCTTATATGTTCATCCCCTACTCAGCGTGTAGCCCACTTCATCCCTGGAAGGAGCTGAAATGTCTACCTCTCCCCCAATCCCTCTCTCCCACCCACAACACATTTTCACCCCTCTGTGTTATTAGGAGGGCAAAGTCAGGTCTTGGCTCCACTGTCTTTTTATCAGCTTTGTCACTCCCATTGTAGCCACAGGGGGCAGTGGACTCCAGACTGTACATTTAGAATGTTCTTGCCCATTGCCAGTTCTTGTGACATCACTGGATTCCACAGGCCAGAGACATGATAGGGACACATTCCTCTGCCCTTTGCAAAGGCTTGTTTTCGAGAGCAAGGAGGAGGTCCATCCAAGAAGACTTTCACTGACTTGTGGTCTCCAGAGTGGCAGCCCCCAAGGAAGCTGAGGGCAAAGTCTTGGGATTATATCTGGTGGGCGGAGGGACTTCAGAATCGCTGCATGCTGTGAGATAGAGGAGGCAGATGAGGAAGAAGTGGCCTGGGAGAGGCCAAGGAAGCAGAGCCCTGGGCTCCCAAAGGGCTTGAGTCATTGTGCCTGGGGGTTTTATGAACTTATTTACCAACCAGCGTGGTCTCTATATAGAATAGTCTCCCAAATGTGTGTACAATGACATTTTCAAATATTGTTTGATGTTGAGATAGACAAACTAAGAGCCAAAAAAGTAGACTGGGTGCGGTGGCTCATGCCTGTAATCTTAGCACTCTGGGAGGCCCAAGTGGGTGGATTGTTTAAGCTTAGGAGTTCAAGACCAGCCTAAACATGAATAAGACCCCATCCTACTAAAAACGGAAAAACCTAGCTGGGTGTCATGGAGGGCACCTGTAATCCCCACTATTCAGGAGACTGAGGCAAAAGGATCACTTGAGCCCAAGACATTAAGGTTTCTGTCAACCTTGATGATGCCACAGCACTCTGCCCAGGGCACAGAGCGAGACTTTGTCTCCAAAAAAAAAAAATAATAATAATAGAATGACCATATTATCCAGCGGTTCCACTTCTGTGTATATGCCCCAAAGCATTGGAAACAGGGGATTGAAGAGATAGTTGTACACGTATTATGTTCATAGCAGCATGATTCACAATAGCCAATTGGAAGCAACGGAGTGCCCATGCCAATGATGGATAAATAGATAAGTAAAATATAGGAGATACAAGTAGATGAGGGCTGTTTGGAAAATATCCAACCATGCACGATGGAAAATGTTATTAATAGTGGCTGGATACTTTCTGGACAGCCCTTGTATGTGATGTAGAATATTCAGCCTGGAAAAGGAAGGAGATTCTGATACTTAGTACAACATGGATGAACCTGGAAGATATGTTCAGTGAAATAAGCCAGTCATGGAAAGATAAATACTCTTATGATTCTACTCATACAGTGTAGAAAGAAGTAAAATTCAAGAGATAGTATAATGGTGGTTGTGAGGGAAGGGAGGGATGGGGAGTTGTTTAATGGGTATAGAGTTTTAGTTTGGAAAGATGAAGAAAGTTATGCAGATACATGGTAGTGATGGTTACATGATAATGCATGCACTTAATGCCACTAAAATGTGGCAAAATGTACCCAAATATAAACAAATAAAACAAAAATGTACCCAAATATAAACAAATAAAAATTTGAAATAAAGGCTTTTTGGGCAAAAAACCTAGGTGCACATTATATATAGGAATGCATTATTCATGGCAAAATATCTGTCGGTTGGCAGTGACATGTTTAGATACAAATCAACAGCATTCCTATATACCCAGATTCACCACTTAGAACACTTGAAAAGGGAGAAAAATCACACCTACAAAAGAGATGATCTATAAAATAGAATTAAATTGACCCCAAATTATTTAAGATAGTTATGGGTAAATTATAAAGCTTTGCTAAAAAAATTAAAATTATGGAAAACATGGTAGTGAATATACTTTGGAAAGGACATGTGTTGAGAGTGTAAGAACTGAGATAAGCAGAGTGTCTCCTTGCTTGGCCTTGGCTGGGACAGTAGACATTGACATTCAAATTTTTCACTGCTTTGTGCCTATCTGGGAATGATGTGGAAAGTGCCATGATTAGTGATTCGGGTGTTACACGTAAATTTTAGCGAACAGGTGAATTTGCAAATACAGTCAGCAAATAATGAAGATTGACTGTACTTACATATTAAAAAGTAAAAGCGCAGGGGTGGTGCCTGTGGCTCAAGGAGTAGGGCACCAGCCCCATATACCAAAGGTGGCAGGTTCAAACCTGGCCCCGGCCAAAAACTGCAAAAAAAAAGTAAAAGCCCAATAGCTGGGCACTGTGGCAGTCACCTGTAGTCCCAGCTACTTGGGTGGCTGAGGCAAGAGAATCACTTAAGCTCAAGAGTTGGAGGTTGCTGAGAGCTGTGACTCCACAGCACTCTATCGAGGGCGACATAGACTCGCTCAAAAAAAAAGCCCAGCAAATGATTGAGGAGGGCCATTAAATGACATTAGCCTTTTATGTATTACATTAAATTGTTTTTGTAAGGAAAATGCCTTTATAGATTTCTGGTATATTTGTAATTTTATATTTTATAAATGAAACAAAAGGGGCTCTGGGAGCTTGTGGGTATCCAAAATCCCAAGGGATGCTGAGTTTTGTGTCTCCTGTTTTGATGTGCTGTCCATCTCTGAGCTGGCTACCCTCCCTTTCCCACTTGCTAATATTCTTTCAGGACATACTGAAAGATTTGCTGTATCAACTTTGATCTGCTTATAATGGACTGGCATGGGGGAGAGGAATAAACTGTCTTCAAGTTGCTGTTAGTTTGGACTTTATTACAACAGCAAAACTCATTCCTAATGCTGGAATTAGTCAAGAATCATACATTGACTTTTGAGTTAACCAAAACTGACTATAATGATAGCCATTAACTTGCAGCAAGGATCTTCTGAAGTCAGACACTGTGCTCCCTGTGCATTATCCTAATGAACATCCATGGCCACCATGGGGGATGAGGAGTCGATTTTCCAGATTAGAAACCTCTGAGCTTCAGAAGTTTGTGCTCAAAGATAGCTGGTCATATCAGTTATCTTTGAACCCAGAACTGATTTCCAAACCTGGACTTCTCTCCAACACACCAAACAAAGGACAAAGTGTTTGTATCTGGCAAACAAGACAAGGAAGCTGAAGAGCTTTATTATCAGAACTTATTGGAAGGGTTTTCAAGTCACTTTCAGGCAGGTGAGTAGGTTTTCAGGCCCAGTTCTTCAAACTTGTGAGGACTTCTTTCTAATGTCAATTAAGTCCTGTAAGGAGAAAAAACAAAACAAAACTCCAAAACCTCTAGCTTGGCCCGTGAGGTCAAATCTTTCTTTTGAACAGGTGGACTTTCCTTTTCTTAAAGTTTTGTAGAAAGATCTATGATGATCCTGTTGCGTTGAAAGGCATAGCAGGTTCTTCTGGGGGCACCTCTTCAGTAGGTGCATAATCAAGAAACTGACCAGTGGGGAATCTGGCTCCTTAAAAACAGGAGAGAAAGCCCCTACCCAAAGCAGCAGTTTTGGGGTTTTCCTGTTGAGGAGGAAACCCCAGCTATGGGGTTTTCCTGTTGGAGGCTGGAGAGAGGAGAAACACATTATTATGTGGGGATCCTTGTAATACATTTTAATTCTCCAAGGTCCCATGGTTACCACCTGGTGAAAATATTTCCAAGTGAACTGACCAATTGATAAATGTCCATCACCCCAAAGCTCCTCCACAAAGAACTTTAGAACGGTGCTATTCAAGAGAAGTTTCATTTGACCTGCCTATATCAGCAATTTAAAATGTTATGGTAAAAAATTTTTTTTGGTAGTCACATTTAAAAAGGAACTGGTAAAATTAATTTTAGTAATATATTTTATGTAACCAGTAGTCCAAAATATTATCTCAACATGTAATTGAGATTTCCAAATACTGATGAGCTATTTCATATTTTATGTTTCTGTACTTGAACCTTTGAAATCCAGTGGGTGTTTTACGGAGCATCTTGATTTGGACAGGACACATGGTAGCCAGTAGCTGTCATCTTGGACAGCTGCGGTGTAGCAGGTCCATTTCCCACCTCTACATTAATGTCCAACAGTCTTTCACTCAGTTGCAAAGTAGAATTAGAAATCTTGCAGAGGTGGGGGAATTATGAATGTGACACATTGAATTGCTGGGTCCACCCACAAGTCACTCACGCATGAAGGCATGGAAGAGTTAAATCAGTTAAGAATGGACAAAGAGGAAAGAGTGAGGAGGCTGCGTCTGGCTCCCGCTCTCACAGCCATTGCAGTACAGTGAGCTCCATAGAGACAGCGCCTGGGCAAGTGAGAGCTGGACGGGCACTGGGCGACTCTGTGCCTCGCTGAGGAAAAATAACTAAACATGGGCAAAGGAGATCCTAAGAAGCCGAGAGGCCAAATGTCATCATCTGCATTCTTTGTGCAAACTTGTCGGGAGGAGCACAAGGGGAAGCACCCAGATGCTTCAGTCAACTTCTCAGAGTTTTCTAAGAAGTGCTCAGAGAGGTGGAAGACCATGTCTGCTAAAGAGAAAGGAAAATTTGAAGATACGGCAAAGGCGGACAGGGCCCGTTACGAAAGAGAAATGAAAACCTAT